TAGACATTGGACCACAATTTTTGGCCAATAACAAGTCTCTTGAATCCCCAATATAGTGGGAAGGGAACATAGTCACTATGAGCTAGAAGAGCACAACCTGCCATATTGGTAACGGTTGAAAAAACAAGACCGGCACACACAATGTCTATGCCTGGAATAGACATTAGGCTCTTTATAACACACCTAATATCTCTTTGAGCCCCCAGTGCATAACTGGGTTCCACTGCTGGCTTTACTCAGGGAATCTAAGAGTACATGTGCAATACTTATCTGAATGTAACATTTTCTATCCACATGGATAAGGAGAACCACCAATTCGATTGGGACAACACCAGGATCCTGGGACAGGCAAAGCAGAGACAATTGGGAATTCCCAAAAGCCTGGTACTCCACTAAGAAAATCATCAATAAACACATAGAGCTTGACCCCATATACACTCCACTGTGAAAGAAAACCAGAAGTGAGGTAATCCAGCCCAGCGGACACCAGAATTCAAATAACAGGCGGGAAAACACAACGGCGCTTCATCGGAGGCTGCACTGTTGATGTTACCCAGCAAGGTAATGAAACGTCTGCGGAACAATGAACCAGCTTGGCGAGCCAGCCAACTACAACATCCACAACCCGAGCTACAAGTTTACTTTAAACCTTAGTGAATGTAACATTGCCATTGTTGCTTCTGGCCTGACTCCTGCCAGTTGTTACTATCCATTCCCAAAATCTCCACTGCTGTAACACTTTCACCTACTATTGTCCAATGTTATCACTCTTCATTCCACACATACCGGAGGGTTTTCAATTGTGTTTCTCCTGCAACCTCCTGTATTTACATACATGAGGCCAGAGATCCAAGAAATGTGGCTCACTACTCAGGTGCAAGGAATATGACCTATGCCTTTAAGTGCCCACATTGGGCTTGTCAAGTTTTCAGGTCAATATCTCTTTAAGCAATTCGAAAGATCAGTCACCAGATTCTTGTGTTGCTTACTTACAACAAGCAGTACGTTATCTTTAGAAGTCTTGACAGTTTGCAAGATGGAAATCAGTATGACATGCCTTTCGGCCTAGCAGATGCAGGAGATGCTTAAGAAGTGCAGTAAAAACATCTGAACAGACATGACAGAACAAGAAAATAATGCAAACTTTTAATTTAATTGAAGCATTTCCCAAGTCTTAAAGGCGCAAAGAATTCACAGAAAAATGCTGGACCACAGTTGCAGTAAAACAACTGGTTCTGGCCTGTAGCACAGAATCTAATATTTTACAAAACTTAATCAGTGAATGGTGAGGCTCTCCCACCAATGTACAGTAGTTATGATCTTGGAAAAATCTAAATTCTTTTATTCAAAACTGGCACTGTAAATGACAATGATAATTTTCAAATATGTAACTAATGGTGGTCATGTACCCTAATTACCTCTCATATCGGAGAAATATATCTTTGTTTTGCCTGGCAGACATTGCTCAATCTGCAACAATGGGATGAATCGAGACAATTTTGAACAAAAATCTATTCCCCAGTGGGTTCTGTTTTTTTACTGTCATGTCAGCATTCCAGGGAATAGCTTTAATATTGTGGTTACTAGTACACTCGTTCCTTTTGTCATAACTGATCAATAGTTATATCTTCAAAAGAATTAAAGGGATAAGAAACAAACTCATTCAGAGTCTCCACTGAAAGCTGATATATATTTAAATAAAACGACCAAGAAGCTGAAGATCTGAAACAAGAATAGAAACTGCTGGAGAAACTCAGCACATCTGGCTGCATCTGTGGAGAGAAAGCAGAGTTAATGTTTTGAGTTGAGTGAGCCTTCTTCAGATGTTTTGTTGCTGCCAGATTTGTTGAATTTCTTCAGCAATTTCTGATATATATTTAGCTGTGTCTAACTCTGTAAACAAGAGGTTTAATCAAAAGTAGAGTAGATTTCTCCTCAACTGACTGACTGTTTTCTTCTACTTGACATTCATTAAGCAGTTCAGATAGAGGCTGCACAATGCACAAGGCTGCAATGTGTCCATTATTTTAAACTCAGAAGTGGACTTTAGCACCGTTGATTTTTCCCTATTTCTTAACAGGAAGGTGCTGAAGCGAACAGTAGCATCAGAAATGCTACCCTGGCTAAGATCAACTAATTTAACGCAAACTAGTAATGAATCTGTGATGTCATGTTGATTGTTGCTTGGAAACCATAGAATCATGGAAAATTACATAATTACATAATCACACTGTTCGGCCTAAACACCCTTTAAAAAGATTTATCGACTTAGTTGCGTTCCTTTTTCATTTCCACTAGCTTCAGGAATTTTTTTCAAGTACATAGAGTTTCTTCTTAATAGTCTTAACAAGAGTCTGGATTAGGACGAGAATACTGGAATCCTTTCCGGGTTCAGGCCTCATTTGAGGTCAATTTTGTCCAACTGATTCCCACCCTGTGCACTGTGCAGCCTCTTTGGGAGCTGTTTAATGAATGTGAAGTAGAAGAAAACAGTCAGTCAACCACTTGAGGAGAAATCTACCCTACTTATGACTAAACCTCTTGTTTACAGAGTTAGACACACCTATATACATATCAGAAATTGCTGGAGAAACTCAGCAGGTCTGGCAGAAAAAGAACTTCTGAAGAAGTCTCTCTGGTCTAGAAAGAATAACTCTGCTTTTTCTCTATAGATGCTGCCAGACCTGCTGAGTTTCTCTAGCAGTTTCTGTTCTTGTTTCAGATCTTCAAACTCTGTTGTAAAAACTGATGCAGAAATCCTGCTAAGTGAGTGTCAAATACACAGTAATGAGCAGATTAGCTGAAGCAAAAGGTGTTTGAAGTATTGTTTTCAATATTTTTCATGCTAGCGTTGGAAGGCACAATCCTTTTTAGATTGTAGGGAAGTGGTATATCCATTGGCTTCAGGTCAGGTCTGGGTGAAGAGCGAAGGATTGCATTAGGTTCTTTTACTGTATACATCAGAATCTTATGACACACAGAGGATCACATTGTTAAGACTCAGCAATAGCGGAACATCCTTTAGATGCCTATCTAGCCATAAAAAGACTTCGGTAACTAAATTTTAGATTATTGTTATTGGGCTAGGAGAAAGACTAGTGCTCCTTTGGACTCCATGTAAGAAACTTTGGCTACTGCCACACTGGCATGCCTGTCAATCAAATATACAAACTCACAGATGACCTCTTGTGGGTCACATAGCTAGCTGGCTTGCGTTCGCTACCTATTACCTCAAAGCCCTAGGTTACTGACACTCTGACCTCTTGATGGTTCAGGTCTCATAGTGAATATTGGCTAGTTCGTTGTCTAAAAACCACACAGAGGAAGAATTTATCCTGATATCCTATAAATGACACAGAAGTTCGAATTAGATGTTCGCGATGGCTCCCACTTGAAACAGACAGGTAAAGGCACAGGCCCTTAGACTAAAAACGGGCATGACCCAAATTTCAGGATGTATCAAGCTTACTGGAATGCAGGACGAAAATCCTTGAAAGTGGGCCTTGTACCAGCTTTGAATGTGAAATGGGCATGATGAAACCCAATCTCATTTTGAAAAGGGAATTGGATAAGCAGCTGAAGAACAAAAAAAGGAGGGTTATGGGGAAAAGGGAGTGGAACTTATTAAACAACTCTCTCATGGAGTCCACAGAGAATCACTGTGCTGATTGGCTTCTTCCTGTGTTGTAACAATTCTACAATATCTTGCTTCATGAATATTATTTTATCTGAGAATGATTTGGATAGTAGTTTTAAATGGTATGTAGGGGCCACATCAAGAAATATCCTGTTTCTCTAGAGTAATACAAATTATGTAGATGCCTTAAATACGTGCCCACTAATTCTGGTGATCATCACAAGAGTTGTCCACAATGGAACTTATAATTCAGAGTTAGTTCTTTAATCTTAATTACAGTAAGCCTTACATAGAAGAGACTACAGACATGAGGCAGGATGCTACAGGCCTTCTGCTATTAAGTTTCAGGAAGTGGGGGGAGGGGTTTGAAAATTTCCTGGGGGCCTACCGCCCTCATTCTTTCCTGACCTCTTATCAATTTTGTAGCGGACAGAGAGGCCTAGGGCATCTCATGTCCACTCATCCAAATTGAGGCACGTAGTGGCCAGTTAATTTGCACATGAAGGCTGCCTCTTGTCCAGCCCCATTTTCGATGCTGGCAGAAGTCAGAGACAATGAGTAAGTCTTACAGGTCTCGCTCAAGTGTCAGCTAAGAAGAAATGATACTACTCCCCCAGCTGCTCCCTTTTCACTTCGGATATCACCTCCAAGTTCTGCACTCACCTCTGCCCTCCCACCTGCTGACCTGATGAGCTGGGAAACGCTTCCACCAAGTAAATTTGCCCACAGGAAACTAGATCATGTTGACAAAAATGAGACATTCTTTACACACAATTGGCACAAAAGGGGAAATTGTAAAAGCAATTTCAAAGGGAAACACAATGTGTACTGCATGAGGAAAAGGGTGCTGTTTGGTTGGTAAGTGAATTCTGATTGGTCAAGGCATATATCCCTCATCCCAAATTCAATGATTTCTCTACTACTGAAGTCAGGCAAATTGAGCGACAGTTGCTTGTCTTCTCTCATCATCTTTTCTTGAACTGGAAGGTTAAATTTCTATTTTCCAAATCCACAATGAAGCCAAGGGAATTTTGGAAGATCAAAATCAATGTGTTCATTATCTCTGAAGGTCCTCATTTTAAAACTCAAAAATATAGACCATCAGGTCCAGAGGATCTGTCAGCTTCCCACCCATTAATTTCTTTGCTTTTTTTTCTCTGTCCTAATATTGGTTACATTATTTTTTATTCGCTTGAAAATAAATCTTCTTCCTTTCATCCCTAAAGGACCCATTACTTTTGGATTATTTCTTCTATCTGACAAACCTGCAGAACCTCTTCCCCCAGCCCATGTTTTCTCTCCTTTGTATTTCTCAGTTCCACTCATACTGATCTTGCAATGACCCGTTGCAACTCTGTCTTACCTGCTATAGCCTGCAGGCTGGGAATGGCAATGGTGCTGTATGTGTTAATGTTGCTGGTGCACCATGTGTGCACCTGGGTTTCACCTTCACCCTCCAGTCCTGTGACACCATCCACAAAATAGGAGCCCCACTGTTCTGACACGACTGGCCACATCTTCTGCCTCTTGCTCTGGAAACAAAAAGACACATGTATGAAAGGACGAAAGAGTCAAGAAATTGTAAGGAGTGATGGTCATGTCTTGCAATAGTACTTTTTCTCCCAGATATCATTTTGAAAAAGAATTACTTTCAATGCTACTGTTTAAAGCACAGTGCATCTTAGCCAGGTTAAATGAAGTACAGCCCAAGCCAAGCATAATTAATATTCTGTTGTACTAAGTTTGAAGTTGTTTCCAAAAAGACTACAAATAATAAACAAATCATAAGGTTGTCTTGATAACACAATATACAACCATTGTGTTGGGGAGCCATTGGCCTAGGAGTTTGGCAGAACTCCTGACTCCATTTTCTATTTGAAAGGGGCTACAGAAATATTAGAAAACAGTGAAGCAGTAAGACCCAGGTAAAGGTTCTAAGAAGGAAACAACAATGAGAAAATTATTTCTTATTTTATCTAAGTCAAGCACACAAACTCACTGATTCGGAGAGGTACAGAACGCACATTATTTTCCCATTATCAAATGAAGATAAGTTGTATTGACTGAATGAGTATATCAGATCCTCACTGTTGCATAGTACGTTTACTTGTTGCAAAATGAAGCAGGCTGGTATCAAATAGAGACTGAAGAAGTGGATATGTCAATAATGTGAGTATCTGCACAATTTGGCAAGAGTATTTTGATTGTTACAACCTTGGTGCTTTTATACAACTAGACATAGTGAAGTGCAAGTTTACAGCTGTAAAATGTAGATTCTAAGGCAAATTTTTTGACAGGACTGAGGTGTAATTGATCCTGAGGACTATCAGTTGAGGCATAGATTATAACAGCAAGCAGGTTATGTTGGAGTTATACAAAACTTTGATTAGGGCACAGCTGGAGTACTGTATGCAATTCCAGTCACCTCACTTTAGGAAGGATGTAGTTGCATTGGAGGGGGTGCAGAGCTAATTCACCAGTATGTTGCCTGGGATGGAGCATTTCAGTTATGAAGGGAGGCTGGATAAGCTCAAGTTGTTTTCTCTGGAGCAGAGAAGTTTGGGACCTTACTGAGATGTATAAGATTATGAGAGGCAGGAACAGGGTGGATAAGAATCAGCTGTTCTCCTTTGTTGAAGAGTCACGAACAAGGGGGTATATTGTGAGGATTTTCTTTTCACCCAGAGAGTGGAGGCAATCTGGAATGCACCACCTGGGACAGCAATTGAGGTGGGTAACCTCACAACCTTAAAAATAAATACTTGAATCAACACTTGAAGTGTCATAACATATGTCTGTGGGAAAGTGGGACTAGTGTAGGCAAGCTGATGGAGGCCCTGCAGGAGAGGCAGGAAACTTCATCCCTCACTCAGGTGGTACAGACTCAATGGGCCGAACAGCCTCTTCTGTATGATTCAATGGTATCCATGGCTGATCTGAATTTGTAACAAAGACTTTCTCTGTTATATGATTTGGTAAAGAGTTTATATTATGCTGCACTATGAGACTGTGGCTGAAGCAATTCACATTTTAAAAATAATAAAACTTAGTGAAGTTTAATATGCCTGAAAGGAGCAAGATAAAAAGTACCTGAAAGCTACCTCAGATTCATCTACGGAAACAGAGCGTAACATTATCCAGTGTTGAAAGCCTTGAAAGCTCTTTAATACTAAATATGGAAATTAAATAATGTTTACAGCTTAACAGAAATTGTGGGTGTCATACCCAGTCATGATTACCATCGACAACAAAATTGTGATACACTTAACTGTGGCAAATAGGAAGCAAATGCTAGATGTAAAACACTTGATGATAGATAGATGATTGATAATCTGCGACTTAGACTATTTTTGGATGCATTCAGTACACTAATATCTCTGCTCATCAGCTCAGTTGACTAGATGACTGTGATGCAGAATAAAGCCAACAGCATGGGTTGAATCCCTGTGCAGGTTGTGACAGTTCATGAAGAACTGCCTCTTCCACTTAGGCTTGTGGAATGCTTACCCTTAAACTATACATAAGCAATTGTCTCTCTTTAATGAAGAAACAGCAAAGGTATTTGTGGCTGATGACTGCATACCATACCATACTTGAATGAAACAAAATCCTCTATGATTTCTGAACATTTTTGAGTATTAGACAAGTAAAATCATTACTTATAATTATTTATAACTACTCATTAAAAAAAACCTGTAAGTCAGAAAAAGTTATATGGTACTTTTGTGAAGTATATGAAAATATAAAAGCGATGTGAGTTCAACTTTTGTGTTTTATTAAGAATCAGAGTTCAGTGTAATATTTTACTGAACATACAGGTCCCAAATTGTTAACTCAGCATGTAGGGTTTTTTTCTTTGTGGCACTACTCGGCAGGAAATATATCAAGGTTTTTAAAACATGCCACTGAAAATAATGGCTACTTGAAATGTTTCCATTTAAGTTGGGATAAATGAAAGTAAAGCTGTAAAATAAATAATTCAAATAAATGACACCTCGCAAAGAAATTACCTTTTTAACACTGCAAATTTTAAGAAAATAATTAGTCAAAATATTTTTAATTCTTAACAGTTGACATTATTTGTATGCATGATCATTTTTCTTTGTGAATTTAATGGGTAACATCAATGATGTTCTGTAAAATATTCCATGATATATATATATACAGAAGTGGTTAAAAGCAATTGGTGATAGGTTAACATTACTACAGTGCCACGTAAACAGCTCAAAATGTTTATTTTAACCCCAAGTCTGCAAGCAGATCCATAACAAAAGACATTTTTCTCTGGACCAGATTTGGATTAAGCTTTCAGCTCAAAAACTGTGCTACTGGGATGTTTTTTGAACAGCAACATTGAATATTAAAAATTTGCTCATCCTGCCAATTTTTATTACTATTACTTCTCCATTTGTTAGAACATCAAAAGTAGTAATAGAATTCCCTGATCTATATTTTCTAACTGATATTATTTTACCACTGGTGCTGACCTGTTAATACCAATTTTTGTTATTTGTTTATGAACTGTGAATATCACTAGTAAAGGTCAGCATTAATTGCCCATTCCTAATTGTTCATGAGAAAACAAACCACTTCCTTGAATCTACTGCATTTGTGCATTGTAGGTACATTCACAGTGTTGTTAGACCAGAGTTTTGACCCAGCAATGGAGAAGAAAAGAAATGTGTAAAGTTCCAAGTCAGGAAAAAATGTTTCAGAAAAAAAAAATGTTTCTTTGAGGGAAACTTGCAAATGGAAGTGTTTCCATGCATCGACTACCCTCTCCTTCTAGGTGGCAGAGGTTAAAAATTTGAAAGGAGCTGTCAAGAGGATCTTGTTGACAATGTTGAGGAAGCAAATGCTTGAAGTGGCAGGTTATGGTACCTATCAAGCGGTCCCAAGTTTCTTGTACTCAGCCAGGCAAATGGAGAGTGGTCCATCACGCTTCTAACGCGTGTCTTGTAGACAGTTATAGGCTTTAGGGAATCAGGAGATATAATATGAGGTCCCAGATTGGGGCTGTTAACCTGGTCCAATCAGGGAGCCTTGGCTGACAGATATAAACAGGGGTGCCAGACATTCTGTTTACTGAGAGCTAGATCTGAGAAAGCTGGACCAGCGTCGAGGACTATGTATGTGTAAATAAAGGGTAAGATGGTAATAGGATACCGGCCTCTGTGGAATTTCCTTACATGGTGGAGAATTTCCAGCCTCCAACCTCTCTTGTAGCTAAACTATTTATGTCTCTGGTCCAGTTAAATTGCTGGTTAATGGTGATGCCCAGGAAATTGATGATGGGAATTCAGCAGTAATAATTTTAAATGATAATACCCGAGCGGAGATGCTTAGATTCTTATTTGTCTGACACTTTTGTGGCATGAATATTACTTGCCACTTGTCAGCCCAATTGTTGTCCAGGTCCCACTTCAATTAAATGGTTGCCAGGCTGCTGCAACTGGTGGGAATGCTTCCCCAACTTCTCTTTGGGTGGCAAACATTCCTGCTCTTGCATCATTCTTCCAGTGAGTTTGAGTTAAGTAACCAAAGATTAGAGTAAATATACCTCAAGAGAAAGTAAACCACGGATTTATGAGTAGCTGGGCACTTCTACTAGATGGATGTTTTCAGTTAATTTTGTAAGGTGTAATTCTTAATGTCGACAAAAAACAGAAATTTCTGGACAAGCTCAACAGGTCTGGCAGCATCTGTGGAGAGAAATTAGATTTAACATTTCTGGTTGAGTGACCCTTCCTCGGAGCGGATGGTAGCTAGGAACATGTTGGTTTATATGCAGAAGATAGGGTTGGGGGGGGGAGAGGGGATAAGGAATGAACAATACAGCCCAAAGAGAGAGAAGGACAGTTATGACAGACAAAGGAGTGGATAATGATTCGGCCAGGAGAGTGAATAGCTGTAAATAGGGACTGTTAGTGACCAGCAATGGGTTGTGTATAATAGCAGACTGTGATAACAAGGCCTGATGTGTGCGGTTTGGGGTAAGGACATGGGAGAGCTCCGGACCTAAAGTTATTGAACTCAACATTGAGTCCAGAGGGCTGCAGGGTCCCCAGCTTCATTGGAGCACTGCAGCAAGCCTGAGACAGAGATGTTGCCCAGGGAACAGGGTGGTGTGTTGAAATGGCAGACAATTGGAAGCTCAGGGTCTTTTTTGTGGACAGAATGCAGATGTTCTGCGAAGCAGTCACCCACTCTACACTTTGTTTCCCCAATGTAGATGAGACCACACTGTGAGTAGTGAATGCAATAGACTAGATTGTGCTAAGTGCAGAGGATCATCAGCCGCCATTTCTGCCACATTCAGCGAGATGCCACCATCAGATACATACTCCCCTCCCCATTCTCGTCAGCCTTCTGTAGGGACCGTTCCCTTTGGGACACCCTGGTCCACTCTTCCTTCACTCCCAACATCTCCCCACTGCCCTGTGTCACCTTCCCATGCAACTGTAGAAGGTATAACTGTCCGTTTACTTCCTCCCCCCTCAGTATCCAAGGTGAAGCAGTGCGCTTCACTCAA